TCTGTCTCCATGAGCCAAAAAATTTAGTTCCTGTTCAGTGGTGGCTACTGATGATTCTAAGAACTGAAATTTTATATTGACCTAGACCACAACTGTGTGTTCATGCAAATGTCATTGCAGTTGTTCCTTAAGTTGCAGGTGAACATAATTAGCTTCTCTAATTGAGATATACTTGAGTTCTCTAGCATGGGAGAAAAGTATAATTCGCTTTGGAAGAAAAAAAGATGCTCTAATCTGTAAAACTTCAGAATGTGCATCTTCATTCTTGTGCATACAATAGCCAGCAAGTAATGATTTCTATACATATTTTGGAACATTATTATCCATACGTATGATCTCAGCTTGCAAATTTGATATGCATTCTATGTCTCTTATTTCTGGGTAGTAAATTTGTGCCTTGCTGTCTAGTGAAGGTTGCCAGATTTGATAAAGATTACAGTTTCAGCAGCAAATCAGAGAATGGAAATAGAACTTCTGAATATGATGGGCTACCATCTTCTGGAGTCTTTAACTCTACTTCTTCCAGCAGTCTAGTTAGTGGAATGATGGATGAAACAGTTGGGACTGATAATGGGAAGGATGCCGCTCCTTATGATTTGCATTTATTGACAGAACCATATGGCATCCCCTGCATGGTTGAGATATTTCACTTCCTCTGTTCATTGTTGAATGTTGTTGAACATGTAGGAATGGGCCCCAGAGCAAATACTATCTCATTTGATGAAGATGTGCCGCTTTTTGCCTTAGGTTTGATCAATTCAGCTATTCAACTGGGTGGCCCTGCCATTTGCAATCATCCTAGACTGCTGAGTTTGGTACAAGATGAACTATTCCGAAATTTAATGCAATTTGGCCTTTCAATGAGTCCACTGATCCTTTCAATGGTCTGTAGCATTGTTCTCAACCTATATCTGCATTTAAGAACCAAGCTGAAGCTTCAGCTTGAAGCTTTCTTTTCCTGTGTGATATTGAGGCTTGCACAAAGTCGCTATGGAGCTTCATACCCACAGCAGGAGGTCACAATGGAAGCTCTTGTTGATTTCTGTAGACAGAAAACCTTCATGGCAGAGATGTTTGCGAATTTAGATTGTGATATAACCTGCAGTAACGTGTTTGAAGATCTTGCCAATTTATTGTCTAAGAGTGCATTTCCAGTAAACTGCCCTTTGTCTTCTATGCACATTCTTGCTTTGGATGGTCTGATAGCTGTTATTCAAGGAATGGCTGAGAGGATAGGCAATGGATCAACTAATTCAGAACTACCTCCAGTAAATCTTGAGGAGTATACTCCATTTTGGATGGTAAAATGTGAGAACTATGGTGATCCTGATCACTGGGTTCCTTTTGTTCGCAAAAGGAAGTATATAAAAAGAAGGTTGATGATTGGTGCTGATCACTTTAATCGAGACCCTAAAAAGGGGCTTGAATTTCTTCAAGGAACGCACCTGTTACCTGAGAAGCTTGATCCCCAAAGTGTGGCTTGCTTTTTCAGGTATACTGCTGGATTAGATAAAAATCTTGTTGGAGATTTTCTTGGAAATCATGATGAATTTTGCGTCCAAGTTCTACATGAATTTGCTGGAACATTTGATTTCCAGGATATGAACCTGGATACTGCATTGAGGCTCTTTTTGGAGACTTTTCGACTGCCTGGAGAATCTCAAAAGATACAAAGAGTGCTCGAGGCTTTCGCAGAGAGATATTATGAGCAATCACCGCAAATTTTAGCTAATAAAGATGTTGCTTTTGTGTTGTCCTATTCGCTGATAATGCTTAACACCGACCAGCATAATGCACAGGTGAAGAAAAAGATGACCGAAGAGGATTTCATCCGCAATAATAGGGACATAAATGGAGGTAATGATCTCCCTCGTGAGTTCCTGTCAGAGNTGCCACTATCAAACTATATGCAGACATATTTCCATTCTTCATACTGTGGAAAATTCTTGTTTTTCCTTTTATCATGTCAACTCTTAATCCTAATTCGTGCATCTTTATCAGTTTCTTTTGTAGACCGCTAGGGGTATTCTTTTGCCAGGTTCTAGCAGCTTCTTGTGAAGCAGTTGTTAATTACCTGTTGAGGTTGTGATCTGTGAATATTAGTTTGCAATGGGACGTTTAAGGCTACAATCTAGTATCAATGCAATCGAAGAGGAACCAGAAGACTGTGGAATTACCTCTTCCAGTGAGGCTGCTTTACCTAGTATGATTAATTCAGAAATAGGTGCTGTATTGGCAGTCATGAGACGGAACGTGAGATGGGGAGGTCGTTATGTGTCGGGAGATGATCAGTTGGAGCACTCCCTCATCCAGTCACTGAAAGCACTGCGGAAGCAAATATTTTCGTGGCAACACCAATGGCAATCTGTCAATCCTGCCTTGTATCTCCAGCCATTTCTGGATGTGATTCGGTCTGATGAAACTGGTGCACCAATTACTGGCATTGCATTGTCATCTGTTTACAAGATTTTGACTCTTGATGTTCTGGATCTAAACACTGTCGATGTTGAAGATGCTATGCACTTGGTAGTTGATGCTGTGACTAGCTGCAGATTTGAGGTAACTGATCCTGCATCCGAAGAAGTTGTACTGATGAAGATACTTCAGGTTCTTTTGGCTTGCATGAAAAGTAAAACATCAGTTATGTTGAGTAATCAACATGTTTGTACAATTGTGAATACATGCTTCCGTGTAGTTCATCAAGCTGGAACTAAAAGTGAGTTGTTACAGCGGATAGCTCGCCACACAATGCATGAACTTGTTAGGTGTATTTTTTCACACCTTCAAAATGTTGACAATACGGAGAGGTCACTGGTGAAAGGAGGCAGTTCTAGTAAAAATGAGGTATGTGTCA